CAAGCTACAGCCACTGGGACAACTCTCCATCACGGGGCCAGGGAGCTGTGCAGGGCACAGACTCACCTCATCCCCAGCACTGCTGTCCCCGGAGAGCCCACTGGATCCCTGCTCCTGAGAAACACTCTCTTCTCACAAAAACCCAACTCCCTCACCACCTGCATCTGCTTCTTCTTCAGTATTGCCCGCAACCTTCATTTCTGCTCTCTCAAAGCACTGTTCATCTCCACCTCTTTTTCATCGCAACATCTTTCAGTTGACACCTTTGAAGAGGCCACTGAATTCTACCATTACAGAGCCTGCTATTAGTTTTAATCCTCAGTTCTGCATTCCAATGCATTCTGCATTCTGCTTTTGAAAACATACTGAAAACTCATAAAAATACGTGGTGTTCACTGGAGCCAGTGCTGACTTCTGCACTGTGCCTTGGCACAAACACGCTCCATCACCTGTGACATCTCTCCTGCATTGACCATTGTTCAAAGCTTTCCTGCAGGTGCCTGACGGAGCAACAAAATCTTGCTGAGCTTCTGTCAGGGCAGGAGCATAACAAGGTGCAGATCCTGTCCTGACCCCACAAAAGAGGGGTTTTTCCTGCATTCCTTCCTGCTGTGACACTCAATGACAAACATCCTCTGGGCCTCTATGTTACCAAATACAAGTACATGCCAACGTTTAGCGAGGACAATTTCAGCTTTCCCAATCTAAACTTTCCATATGATGTAATGACACTGTCACTTATTTCCTAAGAACCCCAGCCCACATAGCCTAGAGAAGTGTCTGTTGGCTCAGAGCAAGCTTTAGGAGCCTGGAAGAAGCTTGTTTTGATTTAGATGCCAGGCCCAAGACTGCATTTGAACTCTTGTCTCCCCACCAGAGGTTTCTAACCCATCCCCCATGTCACATGTGTAACACCAAATTCAGCAGAAAAGCACTTCTGGGAGAAGCTTAGGAATGGAGGAAAGTATAGTTATTATAAATGTTTCATATATCTGTATGTAAAGATAGATAAATAGATAGCTAAATATGTACAGACATCTGTACACCCACCTACACCGGTATCTATATGAAGTCCTTTTTAGACCCTTCCCCAAAGTTGTAAGTGATTGGTGCTTATAGAGACAAACAAAATGAACTTTTAAGTTAAGCCAACTTGTGTGGCTATTTGTGTCACAACAGTTTCTGAAAAAATGATGACAGGACTTAAAAGTCACCAATAGTAATAATAATAATAATAATAATAATAATAATAATAATAATAATAATAATGGTAATAAAGTATTTTGCTGTTATTTTGGTGGCTTATGCTGCTTCCTGTACTTACTGCTCAATGCCTTGCTATTTCAGTAGTTCACTATGAAGCAATAAAGCAAAAGCCTTAAGGCTGGCTGCTTAGCTTACAAGAAGCTCTGTTACAATTTGGAGAAAAAATAAAACTTGGAGCATTATCAGTAAAACAGAGATTCTACCCATTAAAAATGCAGTATTTGCTCTGCAGACCTGCAAAAACTTACTTTAAAAGGTTAACTGCGACCTTTCATAAACCCAGTCTCATTTTAGCAGAAGAGTTTCCTGCTTCTCTGTGACTGTGAGATGTATCTAGTAAATTCCTTTCAAAGGCCTTACCTGACCTATTTATTTTGCAATTGAGAGCCAAAATAGCTCAATATCAAATATCTGCAAGCACCTTAGTACTTTTGGAGAGTGGAACTGCTCGATCAAATCCTCACGATGACCACACTGTTTCAAAATGCAACAATGAATTATGTCATTATGTTTCCATTTGGAAAGGATTATAATGTAAAATTATGACAAGAGCCTGCCCTACTCTGAAGGCATGGGGACAATGGGGATTTGAGTCCCCAGTATGTAACTACTGTTGCAAATGGAAGACATCTATCAGGAACTGAGACGTGCATTACTGCATGAGATACAGTACCCAAGTCCCAAACTTCATTAACCTTAATTAATTGGTTTTGAAACCAAATTTTTTCCGTAGCAGTTCAACTGCATTAAAAGGGCCCTCTCTATAAATGGTTTTGATATATAAACATGCAAGCACTCCCAGAAGGGCCACATCCTTAAGGACTGCTACTATATATTTACTTTATGAAGACACTGCCCCATCTGCTGGGTCAGCCACGCACACGGCCCCACTGCTACGCTTGAGTGTGGCACTGGAATAAAACTTTTCTTGTGTTTAGGAACAAAACCCCGTCAGTCAAATCCACAATCATTCCAGCAAGTAGGGATGCACCAAACTGCTCGGGTTTCCATCCCTGTTTATTCTGGAAACTGACCGCAAACTCCTACGGAGATTTTGAAGGGCACAAGGGCTTCTTGTGAAAGCACAAAGGAAAGAATAAATGACTAAACAGGTATGTTCAGAAGAATAGGTGGGAGGTTTGTACCTAAGCACATAAGGCCACAGCCTCCTTTTTCAATATGTACAATTGTAGAATCAGAGAATGGTTTGGGTTGGAAGGGACCTCAAAGCTTTTCTCATCCCATCCCCTGCAGGGACACCTTCCACTAGAGCAGGTTGTTCCAAACCCCATCCAACCTGGCCTTGGACAATTCCAGGGGTGGGGCTGCCTCAGCTTCTCTGGGCAACCTCTGCTAGGGCCTTGCCACCGTAACAGGGAAGAATTTCTTCTGTATATAGGATTTCTTTAAGCTTTAAAGTCCTAAAGCAGAGGCCACCTCAGGCAGGCATTTACGGATGTAAAGGGTCCTTCTCAAAGGTAACTGTAAAACATGTTCAATGTTCATTAACCTTTCATATGCTGCTCACCAATTACGGAGTGCTTTGAAGAATTTTTAATGAACGTAAATTTTAACCAAAAATACTGCAAAGCCATTATTAATACTGTATGTAGGCACAGGGTACCTGACTTGTAAAGCTGCCAGAAACCTAAACTCTTCTGATAAGATTTGCCACATTTTTTTCTTTAAATAAATACATTTTAAAAAATCATCAAATGTCCTTGCTTTATTTCACCACAGCAACGAAATAAGCACAGTCTCAAGTCTGTGCTTCTGTTTCCTATTACATTAATTTCTCCTACCCTGTTCCTCCCTCAAAGCAGTGAACATGCAGGCAAGTAATCCTGCCATTGCTCCAAATCAATGGAGGATAGAAACCTGCCTGCAGCCTCTGTCCCTCTGCTACTAGGCAGTCACTGCTGCACCCAGGCTCTTTATTCACGGTTGTAACAGAAATACTTTCATTTTTTTCTCTTAAAAAGACACTTAACATTTCACCAGATGGTATCAGCACTTCCAAGTGCCTGTAAACCAGACTCCCCAAGCCCAGCCCATTAGCAGCTGCTCTGTGAGTGGCAAAGGAAACCAGAAATTAATTGCCTACCTTACACCGCTTCTCACCTGGTCTTGGCTACTTCCTTTCCTCAGGCTCTGGCAAGAAACCCAGACATGAAGCAATTCCCCAACCACAATGACAGCCATGAAAAGCTATTTAGGCTGCTGACAGTTCGGCCCATATCATTGGGCAGTCTGACTGAATTAGGATAGAGAATTTTAGGCTCCCCACACTCTTCTGAGCAGAGGTAGGGTGCGTTAGGTTCCTGTCTTGTGGAAACCTGGCACGTGGCAGAATGGGAGTTGGGTTTGTGCATCCTTTGCTGCTTACTCCTCTCCTTACCCCGAAAAACTGGATGTGAAGCTGCAGGTGTCCTTTTTACCTTTGTACTGGGGAACAAAGAGGTGGCAGATCCCCACCATTAATAGCCTGTGCAGACAGACCAACAATGAAATACAACTGTACTAGGTTTGCAAGGCAAAGCTTTGGTAGCAGGGTGGGGGGCAGAGCGGCGGCTTCTGCAAGAAGCTGCTGGCAGCTTCCTCCATGTCTGGCAGAGCCAGTCCCTGGCAGCTCCAAAGATGGATGTGCTTCAAGACGAGGCTGAGCCCATGAGAAATGGTGGTGGTGCCTCTGTGATCATGTGTTTCAGAAAAAAGAAAAAAATAAGTTTCTGCACAGTTGTAATTGCAGCCAGAGAAGAGTGGAGTGAGAGTACGTGAAAGGAACAACTGTGAGACAACTGCAGACACCAAGGTCAGTGAAGGAGGGAGAGAAGGTGTTCCAGGCACAGGAGCTGGGATTCCTCTGCGACCATGGTGAGGCAGCTGTGCCCCTGCAGCCCATGGAGATCCACGGGGATGCAAAGATCCACCCGCAGCCTGTGGAGGAGACCCATGCCAGAGCAGGGGGATGCCTGTGAGGAGGCTGTGACCCCGTGGGAGGCCTGTGGAAGGAGGAGCCCCTGCTGGAGCAGCTTGTCCCTGAAAGGCTGTACCCGTGGTAGGGTGGCCCACGCTGCAGCAGCCTGAAGGGACTTTCACCCACTGGAGGGACACAGACTGCAGCAGTGTGATGGGGAGTGTTGCCTGTAGGATGGACTCGCACTGCAGTAATTCACAGGGATCTGCTGCCTGTGAGACGGACTCATGCTGCATAAGTTCATGGAGAACTGTCTCCCATGGGAGAGACCCCATGGAGCAGCAGGGGAGCGACTGCTTTCCCTGATGAACTGATTGTCACCTCCATTGCCTGTGTCCCTGCACAGATGGGGTAGGAGGTAGAGCTGGGAAGGAGGGTGTGGGAAGATGATGTTTTTAAGGTTTTATGTTGTTTCTCATTATCCTGCTCTGACTATTTAGCCATAAATTCAATTAGTATCTCTAATAAGACTATCTTTTGCCTGTGACAGTATTTGATGAGTGATCTCTCCTGGTCCTTATCTCAACCCATTTTTGTATTTTCTCTCCTCTGTCCAGCTGTGGAGGTGAGTGATAAGAGAGGCTCTGGTGGGTGCCTTGCATCCAACCCACTACATGGGAGCCTGCTCCTGGATCATGGAGCAGCTCCTGCCCCACTGCTCTGGGAATTACAGCCTGTTCGAAAGCACTTGCTAGCACAGCACTATGTAGAACAAAGATGAAATTTTCCTCTTAAGCGTTTCTGATAGCCACCAGCAGAAGAATGGCATATTCACCACCCCATCCAGCTGCCTCGAGATGTTGGCAATTGGTGGGTTACACTGATGGAAAAAATATTTACCCTAAAAATCCTGCAATGCACCAGAGCAGAGAACTAAGCACAGAACTCACTCACAATGGCTGGAGACAAAAGAGCTA